AATGCTTAATGCAATGTTTTGCTGGAAGTTGTTGGAGTAGGTTAGTAGAGCTCAGATAAGTGTAATTATGTAAAGCTCAGCAGGGTAGAAGGCTCTCCAGAGACCTTCTGAGTTATTTTAGTCTCTATGTGGATTTGTTCCAGGTTTTCCCTGTGAGGTGAATTTCACTGCTCTTAATAGATATGGGCTGTCAAAAAGCCTTTATTTTCCAATGACAATATTCACAGATGAGGCTGAAGGAAAGTCTTCCGAACAGTGCTAAGAGCTCTTATTTGGATTGTCATAGCAGGAAGCAGAAGAAAAAGTGGAGTTGCTGTCTTGCTTCCTCCCTTTCATGGCTCTAACCCAGATTGATGGAGTGTGGAGTCTAGCATATTGTACCTCATATCACAGGAAGGTCATCTGTCCACTTCACTTTCACAGGCACAGAGAGGAGAAGGCTGTGCTTGGCCACACGCACAGACACCAGCAATGAAAAATGTTCTTTTATACACAACCACAAAGAAACCAACTGAACAGCAGATATTGACTTAGTGAAAGTAGGATGAACATTTACTAAGTCCAAGTAAGAAGGTCAGTAAGTTTGTGATAAACAAGACTTTAAATAGCAGTAGTCAGAAAGTGTTTTTACACCAAATGTACGTAGTTTCATTAAACAAACATCTCGGGTGGTCAGGTTTTCAGTTCATTCATTTTTGTAACATCAGCATTAAAAAGTAACAGTAAGAGTCAATTAGGGACGTTTATAAAAAAAACAAACAAACAAAAACTTACATGAACCATGAAACAAATGCAGTCAACAAAGTGAAAAACCTTTTTTGTTATTTTTGAGAATTTATTGTTCTCTAGGTGTTTTCCTATTTGTTCTTTATCTGTTTAAGTCTTTGTTTTAAAATAATTTTGCTTGTGAAGCAGCCGTGGCACATTGAGTCTCCTAGAACAGAGCAAGATTTTGTTCCAACAAAAAAATAAATAAAAGTAGCCAAGATAAGAATAACAAGGGCTCAATCTCACTCCGTTCAGTCATTCCTCTATCTTTGGGTGAGTAAACATGGAAACACCTTCAAAGCTATCACATGAGTTGGTGGTGACAATGTACATGGCACATTTTGTGGAAACTTTTAACAGGGAATGTTTAGTACCGCGTTTCCTATGTCAGTTGCTGCATATGGTACCCAAGGGAACCGCTTTGTCTCCTTCTGGCAGTGGAATCGGTTAGGGTTGTCTGGGTAACTTCACTGAGTTCTGTTTCTCCTCTTCAGCAGTTGAGGATGACAGTTTTTGTCACAGAATGTACTTGCAGCCGAGTCACCAATATTGCAGAGACCTGTGCTGAGTTGTAGCCTTGTATCAATGCCACAGTTCTTGCAGTTGTGCTGCACTCACACGTTCCCTCCCCCCCCCATGTTCTCTCTGTCAGTTGTCCATTGACAGCTCGTGTATAGCAAAGGAACTATAGTAAATATCTCTGTGGTTATGTAGAGTTTTTTTTTTTTTTAAATATACTGGATTATGTTCTCAATTACTTTAGAAAAGATAAAAACCCCACTGTGTAAGCAGCTTAAAACAATTACACACCGTTTTGTTGTGATTTAACAGCATCCTCTTAAGCTGTGTTTACCAGAAGACAAGTATGAGATGAGATGAGATTACTGTGGATGGGTACATATAGAAATAGCTACGGTTCATCTTTGCATGGAGATTTTCCTTTTTTTTTTTTGTAATTCAAGTGTTTCCCAACTTTAGGGAGAGTTAGAGTAAAACATTGTATGAAGTGTATTCAGAGGGTAAGGTTTATCAGTCACTTTTCTGCACAGACTGCTAGCAGCTGACAGCAGCTCTAATATGATATATGGTGGTATAAGTTGGAGGACGTTGTGTTTCAGTGCGCATTTTCACTCACATTATGGCCACACTAACACGTTGAACAGCAAAGCCTCATTTAAAAGCTTACATTGTTCTGTTCAGACTCCATGGCTTTGAAGAACAAAGCTGGATAGGAGCTCAGCTTTTAGATAAAATGTGTTTTTTAATCCCAGTTATGAATTAACAAGTTGTGTTCTGCTTTAGGTGTCATCAAAAACAAGTCATAAAGCTATACAAACATACAATTTGCCGTAATCTTTGGAAAATGTAACACATTATGCCTTTATTGTTGAAAGGTATTTTTTCTTTTCCACAATCACACTGACAAAATACACAGTGTGTTGCCTGTGATAAATTTCTGTTTAGTGATGCTGTGATTGACGTAAGCAGCACTGTTGTACAGCTGTATCACGTAGATGTCTCCATTTTATGCTTCTGTAAGAAAGAAAAACAACAGTCAGTGGTCAACTCCTCAGCTTTTTTGTGTAATACAGTATCTCAATTCAACAACAGACACAACACTGAGCCAGTGAATACAACCATGTTGGTCTAAACAGGAGAGTGGAGATATATTCCAGTCACAATGCAAGAGTTGAGCGTGTTCTCTAATCACACCCAACATTTCTGCAAGTCTGAAACAATGAAAATATATAACAAATCCATTATAACAATAAACATTACATACTCTAGTCTGGACAACTGACAAGACAATAATATAAAAAACTGTCTGAATGTTTCATGTCAACAGAAGACGTATCGTCCTGTTAAACTGTAAATTCAAATACACAATTACCTTGTATGCTATTAACGAGGCTAAAGGGACCAGTTAAAGTTGTGTGTGTATTTGTGAAACCATTTAGGAGAGGTAGATGCATTTGGATTACCTCTTTTTTTTAATTACACTAACAAAGAGAACTCTTTTCTTCATGGTTGAACAAAGAGCTATTTTGTTTTTATTATAACATTTTGAAATTGAACTTAACATAACATATGAATATAAATACTGATATGTGTATTAACTTGAGTGCAGAAAACCAGAGTAGATTTCTGAAGTCAGGAAATTTTAAAGCCAGTATCTTTATTGTTTAAAGGTTATTTGAACCACGTTTATGTGAGCTTTGTTCTGCCCAGCTGGGCTCTTCTACTGAGCTGTTAGCTGTTCTCAGCCAACAGCCACCTCTAGCTTTTTGTTCTTCTAATGGACCTTCAAAGAGGGAATATTTTTGTTGTAGTTATGAGCAGATTTTTGACCTGAGAGGCTGACAGAGGGCAACCCTCCAGACAACTGTCACATCTTATTACCAAACTGCACCAGACCAGTGCACACTCCAGCACACTCACTGCTTAATGCATTGTAGTCAAAAGCAACAGGATCCAGTTTTAACATTTGCAGGAGCCAGAAAATATGTGGTTGACCATACCCAAGGTAAAAAAAAAAACAAAACAAAAACAAAGTCAGTGTGGAGCTTTAGACCATTCAAGTGTGTACTACTAATGCAACAAAGTGGAAAGACATCAAAACAGATTTTATAGACAGAACATTTGCTGACTTTCAGTGGTTATAGGGCCCTTTAAAAAGATGTAATCATACTGTGAAAACAATTTTACTAGCTGTAAATATTTCACTGTTTCCAGTTTTCAAATAAAATGAGTGAATTTATTTGCAAATACAACATAAGGCAGTGCACAACTAACATGTCAAACACAGGCTGGTTCAGCAGGTATGAGATCAGGTCAGCTTCTCTCATTTGGTCAACCATATAAACAAAAATATTTTTTCTTTCTATGGCAACTTTAGCTTGGTTGAATCATGTCCCAAACAAAGATGACTTAGCAGAATGGTGTAGCATTTCAAATGCAGATTCACACAGCCTGCATAAAGGCTGAAGTGCTAATTATTTCAGTTAATACTTATCTTATTACTTATTGCAGTTTCTCTTAGGAAATCTTAGAGTATTTCACACTCATGGCTTTTAAAGATATATGAGAATATGTCTAATATTTACAAACATAATTGCTATTAAATGTGTTCAAATACTTTCAAAAACATAAAAGAAATGGAAATGGAAGGTTGTTGATTGTAAAATCAAAGTTGTAAAACAGTTCAATGAAATAATGGAAAAATCTTGAAATAACTTCAGTGAACCAATGAGTGAAGTTGCTTAAAACACACATGGTGGTTTAAAAAGTTTTAAGTTTGATGTTGACATGGGAAAATAATAATGAATCTTAATGAAAAGCGGGGTGGTGACACTGAAAATCTGGGAAATATCCAACTTGGTTAAGTCACGGAGGTGATTAGCTGTATCTGTAAATCTAAAATTATGTCACACAAATAACTGGTTTAAAACTCAAAGTTGATTGGTTGATAAAGCATATCATCTTTGATTGTGATATGACAAAATAATAATAAAAAAACACTGATACATATACTGAAACAATACTTTTTCTTTCAAGTATTTTTATTGATACTATTTAGTACTAAGTATAAATTTCACACCACCAACTTCTTCAACATTAGTTGCTTGGAAAATACTCAGAAGTCGATGCAGATTCCCTCACTGTGGTTTTTTTGTTTTCCCCGTTCTGCATTAACGTGATTGAAGGTGCGACCTTCAGTTACACCTTAGCTAAAGCGTGAACGCAGGTCAGCTTTTACAGCCAGCAGGGAAAGAGCTGTAGATGAGGAGCAGAGCTAACAGCATACATAATGGATGAGACACATTTACTCTCCTGAGAAGGTGCAAAGACCTTAAACCTCGTGGCTGAGCATGTGTATGCATGCAGCACGCCAAAGTCTGCTGAGTAAGAAAACTGAAACAAGCAAAGAGGAAGGTATATGAAAACATTCACAGCAAAAATGTTTCTGCTATAAAACAAAGTGATTTTTTTTGAGAGTTGATTACTGCTCCGGTAGACTGAGGGGCTGGTTGACGTGGGCAACCACTGCTTCAGCGCTGCGGTTGCAGCAGTGATTTATTCTGATTAGATCAGCCTCAGCTGCCATGCGCTGCTCAGATTTAGAAAGACATGATATCAAAAAACACAAATGAGGTGAGCTTTCGAGTTCAAGTTTTCTTCTCATAAAATATGTTGCGGCTGATTCTGTTGCTGCCGTGTTTTCATGTCTTCAGATATAGATGAGTGTGCAGAGGGCCTGATCAAGTGCCACAACCACTCCCGCTGTGTCAACCTACCCGGCTGGTACCACTGTGAATGCAGAAGTGGTTTCCATGACAATGGATCCTACCAGCTAGACGGAAGCTCCTGCATTGGTGAGCATACTGAGCTGAAATCATCCTTGTCAGTGCTACAGTGACCAGCAGCACATCAGTAGATGCTCATCATTCTCACAGTTATTGACATTTTCTCTTCTCTCTATCTGTTCACTTATGAAACACGTAATTCCCTCCTAATCCTTCACTGCAGTTTTAAGCCATGAAATGGGTTTACAGAGAGCCACTTGGCCGTTCTTACAGTGAGAATTTACACTAGTACAGATTTGAGTGACAAATTTGTGACTCTCGCACAGGATGTTTCTGATTTTTCTAAAATTACATGTAGAATTTTTGTCTAATTTAAAGAACACATGATCCAAAATGCAGATTTTTCAGGAAGGACTAGAAAAGATTCAAAACGTAACTAATGTGACAAAAACTCCATGTAAACACAAAGTGTCATAGTGCAATACAGTACATGAAGCCAACAATTTTCTTCTTTCCTCTCTTTTTTTATAAGTTGTGTTTTTAATTTATAAAATCTTACAAGTGCCATTGTTTTACAGTTCATTGACTGGAGTGTTTTGCAGTGAACTCCTGCCTATCCGCAGTTCAGTATTGCAGTTTGCCAGATATAATAACTAAAATACATAAAAACATATGTATTTATATAAAACAAGAATTGGGAAGCTAGTTGACCTAGGTGAAGGGTCTTCACCTAGAATATCCTTTTTTGCTGCAATGTAGCCAATCCTTGGTGCTGATTGGCTGAACTTCCAACAGCAAGAGATAAGGAAGACTGCAGATGTTAGCTTCTGGATAAATTCTAAGATGGTTTCCACTTTGGGTATTTCAGCACATTAAGGTAGTATATTTAGTTGTGAAGTGTTAAAATAAGCAGTTGTTGCTGTTGTTAGAGGGAGCCTGAAGGTTTTATGAATGGAAATGTGTAGGTTTCCACTATACCTGAAAATACAAGTATAGTCAAATAATCAAACATTTTTTGTTAACAATTACTAGATACAAAAAGCCACAGCTCCCACTTTGCATGTTTAAATGTACATTAAGGTAGGAAGCAAGCTAAGTTAAGCTAAGCAATTCTAACTTTAAAAACTTGAATTAAAAACAATTTAATGATTTACATCATGTGATGCAAAAATAGAAGAGATAGATTAACTGTGTTAATTGCATTTTCCAAACAAACATCAGTCTTTTAATTGTGGAATGATTACTAATTACAGTCTGGGTGAGCATCGTTCAGACCTTAACAACTAGATTTTTGTTTGTTTTATTGCTATTAATATTATTTTTTTATTCCGCTTTTCGCAGATCTTAACTAATAGTTTTATTATTCTGTTGTTCTGAACACATTGGTGTCATTGTTAATCTCAGTTGTCTTCTTTAAACATTGCTTTATTTCTCTAATATTTTTTATTAAAAAATAAATCCTAGAGGAGCTGAGTAAATACTAACGATGCTCAAAACAGGGATTATAACTATGTTGCTAAAAAACAACAACAGCTATCTACATGTCAACATAGTCATAATACTGATTTCATTAGGATTTTTAAAATGAAAACCTCTTCCATGAGGAATTGCTCATTCAGTGACATTTAATGCTGTCTCCAACATTAACTGAACACCAGGAACCGTATCGGCTCACTACATCACACATGACCTTCAGCTCAGTGCTCAGAACCTCTCAGAATCTGGACATCCTTCTTAACAATCCAAGCATGGCAGCTTTGTACTTGTAACGGATGCAGCAAACAGGATCACTTGAGTGAGTGAAATACTTCTGCCGTCAATTAACCTTTGAATCAAAATGCAACATCAGCAGCCTGCTCTCATTTATCTACCTGGATGGGAGAGGTATGATCTCAGCGCTTTCCACCAAAAAAAAAAAAAAAGTGGCTTCATTTAAATTTTGGCTACTCTGCAAAATTGACTATGGTGGTGCAAGTTTTAGTTTGCACATTCAAATGGGATAGCAATGGACAAGAGTAACCTCAAGGAAGTATCAAAGTGTGTTCACTTTCAGTTCTGTTTAATATAATTAGAAATGCAACAGTGTTGGATCTTTATAGCTTGTCATATGAGAAACAGCACGGCTTTTTCCTCAGCTTGTTTTAAGAAACATAATGAGCGGATCGCTGAGGAGGCTGGCTACCAAGAGACTCTGCTTAACTAGACAGAAATTTACTTTTATTTTAGCTGTCATGATTTCTGTGATAAAACCATATACCATGACAATTGTTTCTAAAGTGGTGCAGTTACATAAATATGTGACGTAAAAGACGATTTGCAGCAAATTACAGCAATAATCTGGGGAGTTTGTACGCTACCGATCAGACCTGATGAAATGATATTCATCTGTTGCATAAGATATACAATGTGATTGAATTGCATTCACTGATTGCTTACATTCTTAACAACAATCTGTTATTTCTGTGCTCTGTTTTTATATCTGCCTCCTTTTCTCCTCATGCTGCCCAGTGTTAGGCTTTAAGCCATCCAGGAAAATTTCAGTTTAACAGTAACTTTCTAACTCTGTAATGTCTTCTAAACCGCCTTCCACAAGTCAATCGATATTTTACATAATACAGCATTTTGTATCAAGATATCAAAACATAGCTTCACCATCCAGTTTAAAAATATGATTTTTGCAGGAGGTGTCACTAAAGGTGCATCAATCCGTGAGAGACAGCGGAGCACTAATTTGATTTGATTTCTACACCAGCAAGAGCTGTATGCGGGAAAGTCTTATCAAATACATAAATAGACCAAATAAATCATTTTAGCTGTGGTATTAAAAGTAATTACTCTCACACAGCGAGGGTTAACAAGTTGATGTAGCTTTCGTTCTCGGTGCATACGCTGTAAAATGAGCTTCTAGCTAAAATTTAAATTGTCCTTGGCACACAGAAAAACTGGATGAGTTTCTCCCAGGGCATCCATCTGTGCAGCACATTTTATCCAATCACTCCATTGAATATCTGCATTATGTTTGAATGGTGTAGGAAGACATTCCGCCTTTGGTAGATAACAATCCAGCATCACCTTCCTACACAACTGATATTTTAAAATATGCAATTTGATCTTTATGTAAGCAGGGCTGCTAGGAATTCCTTTGGGTAAGGTGATAAATTTCATGGCGTGAGCATCATCTGTGGTGCCACATGTACCATACATGTGTGTCTCTGCTACAGGGTTTATCCACGTGCTTCTTAAATGTTGTGACAGTGACCAAGTAGTTAACTGTCTTCCCATATTTTAACCCATAATAACTGGAACATTGACCAACATATTTGATGAGTATTGATGATGACACTTGAGAAAATGTAATGTTTTGTTACTGGTTTCATAACTGGTGACTGTATGACGTCTTTATGATGTAAAGCACTTTGAACTGCCTTGTTGCTGAAGTATGTTATACAAAAAACATGATTGACTTGATTGATTCTTAATTTTATGATGCTCAACTGATGAACATTCATTGGCCTCACCTTGAGGAATACACAATATGACTCCAACTGCTGGCAGCCTGACCTACTTTCTGATTGATTGAGCTCATAATTATTTGACCTCTTATGGTTTCTCATACAGCATCTAAATGTCACCCTCTGATTGTCAGTTTATTATTAAATATGGTAAAAGTTAAACTAACCCATCCCAGAGTCAGTACAAACGGGGAACTGTGTACTCTTCATGCATGAAGTTTACAAAAAAGCTACACACAAACTTCATAAAGGACTTGATGTTCCATCAAAGACCATCATCTACTCACTCATTGGCCCACTTGAAGCACATTTTTAGAACAACACACTGAGAAGGATGAGAAACTGTGTGAGAACAGCCTTAATTCTTAGCTTCTTTATTTTTTTAAGTAACTTCACTCTCTGGTTCGTAACGCAAGAAAGCGTTGTGCAAGTTTTTCACCAACACTTCACGCCAAGAAAAGGAAACTTTTACAGATTAATCCCACAGTGGAACCACCAGGTCAGAAAATAATCACAATTTCATTAATGGAAATGATCTTTGTGATGCAACGTGTTGAGCATACATGGAAGACATGCCATGTTACCTGGCAGTGCACTGCCGAGGTGAGAACCGAAGCAGCTGCAAACAACTGCTTTATAGCTTTAACTAAAAGCTGCACATGCATCGCCTCATCCCATGTTTGACATTCCTTTCGCTTTAGGGGCGACAGGTGGCTGTAATAAACAGATTGTGAATGAAAATGAGAATAACATGTTGTAAATTTCCAATGTCTCTCGGAAAGACAGGGTGTGTGCATCACTTTCTCTCTTGCTGTAGAGCACTCGACCTCTCCATATGGACCGCCTGGAGACCGACCAAAGGAATATAATTTAAATACACAAATACTGAGCTTTTTGATGCCTTCTAATTACAAACATCTGTCAGAGGGATTTACTGGCTTGTGCCTGGTGTTTTTTATTGTGCATGTGTTTTTCTCTGGTTATGCATTGTCATGTTTTAACATAGGATTAGTCCTTTCATGTGTGACAGTACATTTGGGTGTGAGTGAAAGTTTTGTTGCTTCAGCTCAGCTGGTCTATCCAAAGGGCTTTTGTGTTTTATTCTAACGCCGCCGTTTACAGCCTGTGTGTAAGAGCGCGCCTCATCTGCAGGCAGCAGCTTGTGGCTAAATGCAGTGAATGTAGCATGAAGAGTGTTAATCCATCACTAGCAGAGGTACAGTATATCTGACTGGCTGATGGGGATTTCATTTAGCGTATGCAAATAGCCTGTCGGAGGCACAATAAATTTGCGGCTGAGTTCTTTCCCCTCTCTCCTTTTCCAGAAGAATTGATAGTGGAGCCAATTAGGGAGCACATTCACTAGTGTCACAGTATCTTGTTGCAGCTGGTTTGACAAGTACTTTCTAAGTCCACCCAGACAAGGTCTGCTTTCTGAAGACCACTCATCATTCCCCCCAAAAAGGAAAGTTTAGGTGTGTGTGCACAAGTTGGAACTTACTGTGGATTTATCTCAACCAATTTCTCACCAATATTTGATTAAAAGTTTTTAGAGAGTTTCTCTCTTGGGATATTTTCTTGTTGGAAAACCCAATGCTAGCCAAATTTCAATCATCTGATCCAAACTGTCATCCCTCGTAGAAAGACTTTTTTTTTAATGTCCTGAAAAAATCCCAATGCCAGAATCAGGATTTTTGTGAAGGAACTCTGCTCCAAAAAATAAGTTTCCCATTGCCATAACTAAAAAAGTTTCACACCAAGAAATATGCTCCTACTTCAAAATTGGAAAGTTTGTCTGGAAGAGCGGAGGGAATAAGTCAGAATGAGGACTATCTCCAAATTATTTGATCTCACTTCAGCTCAAAAGTCAGATCATAAGTTTAACATCGAGTAAGACAATGATCTCAAACACACATGCCAGTATATCATAGTAAGCTAGTGAAGAAGTTGTTGTTTCCTATGTTACATAGCTTGCTACTTAAATCTTAAAAAAATCTTTATTGGCACAATGGTGTCTAAATATAAACTTCACATGGTCTTCTTCCTCTGCTACCTGTAAATACAAACATAAATATTTTGGAGTGTGAGTGAAAGTAAATTCTGAAACATCTGTAAGAACTTGTCCTGATACCTGCCTGGTTTCCTCCTGCAACAAATATCTTTTTCTCAGCAAGTTATACTTTTTCCTTACCTAAAAAAAAACTTGCATCATCAATCCCTGCTGCTGGCCTCTAATGTTTCCTCCATCACTTTGCTCTTTATTTTTATTTATTTTTTTTTATTTTCAGATACTACTTGACAACTGCATTATTTTGTCCGAAAAGGCAGCAGATACAAGTAATTTAATTTTTAGTTATCTGAATTAATTTTGCACATTAGCGCTGCCACATTTGACTAAAAGTGATGGGTCACTTTCTGTGTTCATGCCATAAAATTAAATTATGTGGCATATTACCCTGTTAGCTTGTCTCTTCCATTTTATGTGCTAAGCAATAATTTTCATACAGAAATGGTGCTTTATTAAACATTTCATGTTTAGTGTTGCCATTTGGCACTTAATGATCTGAGTACATACCCTGCTTTGTTTGAGAGTAATTGAGTCAACTCAACCAGAGTTTGGCAGCTAAAGCCTTTTGATTTTTATTAGTACATAGTTTAAGAACTAGAATTAAAGTTGGCAGCATTTCTAGAATATGTGTAAGGGGTGAAACATTACCAGCAAACCAATCAGCATAAATTAACTGAATCAAGAGACGTAGTTTAATGTCCAGCTAGAATAATCTCAGTATGTTAGGGTTAGGGTCAGTATATGCTAGTGGGAGGAGTTCTTGTATTTTATTTTTTATTCATTGAGACTGTTTCTTATATATTCATTATAGTCTGAAAAGGACTTAGTCAAATAATTTAAATGCTCAAAATGATGAAAATCATGTTAAGATGAGTATATTTTCAGCCTCCTACTGGATATATGTTTAAAGTATGTAATCCCAGAACAATCTGAGAGTCCTCCTTATTAGTTTACATTAAAACCCAAATATGTTTATTAGGGGAGTGATGTTATCTGAACCTTTATTGGCCAACATTTTACATTTTACAAATTACATGAAAGTGGAAAATGTTATTCCTAATTGTGGAACGAGAGCTAAATTCACAGGAATTTGTAGCTGAAGTGTGTCGGCTCACTTCAAGCTGCTCTGAACATGGAAAAAACGCAGCCCAGACACTGAAAGATGAAACAGGTTTGATACGGTTTTGTTCAGGCTGATTTGTGCCAAATTGGTTACTGAAGGTTACAAAATATTTAATCCTGGATTGCCTGGTAGAAATGTAAAAGAACTAAGTGCAAAGTATCAGCAGGAAAACAGATGAAAAGAAAGGAAAGCGCTTTAATGGGCTCACAGTCATACAATGTAAAAAGAAATTGACTTGCTGACATATTTTTGCTCAACAAAGACAACCAATAAACAGAAACCTATTTTCTGAGCGGTTTCAGTTTTTCTTTTTTGGTCTTTTGTTTATGCAGCACCGGCAGTGTGCTGTCAGTGTGCTATGGGAGTGATTACAGACAGCAGCTTCTGGCAGGGGAGAACAGAGCTGCTGTCAAAAGGCCTTTGGTCCTTTTTTTCTTTCTGAACAGCTCACATTTAGGGAGGATAAAGCGAGTTAAATGCCATGGTAAAAGTTAAGGAGGGGATTTTTTACCCAGGGGTTATGAAAAGTAGATGAAAATATCATCCACCTCTTCTCTGAATGGATTTCTTATTTTGGTTTGTTGGGGTATGGAAGAAAAAGAAGCTGACTGAGTGGGATCTTTGATGATTCAGCTAAATCTAACTATGATGCTACTAGATTATGCAAAGTATATTCCATATATATGAAGATAAGATGGAACATAAGACTTTATTGATTTATTGCAAAGCAGATGGTGCCTTTTTTCCTTAAAGTGTGTATAAGGATGGCAGAGACAGCACGATGCAGCTTATCCACACAATCAAGCAAAATTTTAATCATAATTATGCCATAAAAATTATAGATCGCAGAGATCACAAAAAAATTATAGATGCATGAATAAATTATGCAGTTAGAAACAGAGAATTAAAAATGAAAGAGTTAGAAAGATTAATTTAAAATGCCTAAAGAAAGAAGCTGATGGTGATGCAGTGGAAGCTTAAATATGCGGGGGGTTTTGGTTTGTTTTTCATTTCTCCTGGCACGGCTGCAAATGTTTCCTTATAGCTTCACTGTAAGGTAGTGTGTGTGTTAAACCACATAGCAATGGGAATGAAAACTTCTGATCTGAAAGGCTTTAGCAAAATAAAAATTTCCTCACACTGCTTGTGAGTGTCTGACTGCATCAGTGTGAACATTCAATTTCCACTGCCTTACTTACCGAATGCTGTTAATTTAAAAGAATTATTGAATAACTCGGGGCTGCAATAGTAAATTGGGCACAGCAGAGTTTCTGAATGTCACATCTAGCCCATTCTGAGCTTCACAGTAAATTGAAGAAATAAGTAAAAAAAAAAAAAAAAAAAGTTAAGGAGTTAATTATTTCCCCACTATGTGGGGAAATATTTAATAATGTTACTACAACATTATAATAATAATGTTACTACAACATTATAATCAAATTATTGATGAATAGTTGTAATTAGACCAGAAAAGCAATTTTATTTTTATGAAAAAAATCCCTTTTAATATATTTTCAGCATTGTTAGAGTCTTCATTTCTCTAGTGCACTGTGTTTAAATTAATGCCATCCTTTAGATAGTTGAATTTTTCATTTATAAATTGAATGTTTCCTAAAAACTCAACATTGTATTGGCAGTTTCTTTTTTTTTTTTCAAAGCTGTCAGGTACTTAAGGATCTCAGATTAATCAAATATTGTGAAAAAGTGAAATACTGGAAACTCATGGTGTCACACTCCAAACAGCTAATTAACTCAGAACACCTGCAAAGGTTTCCTGATCCTGTAAATGGTTTTAATTTGATGCAAAAAAAGTGTTTCCATTGTAGTTTTGTGAAAAGGCATTAATTTTGATGCAGGTGAAATCCTAATGCAACAACCTTTTATCAAAAAAATAGATTTTTCCATTAAGAAAATGTATTTTTGTACTTCTAATATGTGCAGCTTTAAGGTCAATGGAAAAACAGCTTTCCTATTTTTATTGATCTTATATAATATTCAAATGATTTTTGGTGAAATTTTGTTTTTGTTTTTTTTTACATATGGTGAGATGCATCTATATGGTATGAGTTTCACTTTCTAGAGTTGGTGATGAAGAACATTTATGGTAGCCTATTTATTCTAATCATTTTTAGATACACCTGTATAAATAACCATGGCAGAGTAACAGAAAAGACGGACATATGTGTAGATGTGTTAATGATTTTTGCCTTAAGGTATTTATTACTTTTTTAGTATATCAAGATTTTTGTATAATTTTCAAACTTTTGCTACTTGAGTCTAATTTCAAAAGTGCATGATAATGCTTTACAAAAACATTTCCATCAACAATCGTAGCCTAAAATGAAAACTATAACATTTATAGCTATAGCGGTTGCTATATAAATCATTACTTTCTACACGTTAAAGAGTTTCTATTTTATCTTTCAGACATCGATGAGTGCACTTTGCAGACACACACCTGCTGGAATGATAGTGTGTGTGTAAACCTCCCAGGAGGCTATGACTGCATGTGCACAACTGGTCCAGGCTGCAGCGGAAACTGCCCACAAGACGAAGTTATAAGACGCAATGGAGAAGACTGGAAACCCACCTATGATCGCTGCGCTCTGTGCTCATGCAAGGTAAAGTTGAAATCAAACATACTGTGGGTAATTTCATTCAATTAGTTAAAGGAAACTAGTTCAAATGGTGTTCAGTTTAAAAGTTTCTTACCATTTCCCAAGTTAAAAATCCAATCTCAAATTATTATGTCAGGTCATTTTTGCCTTCAATGTAAAACAGAAAAGTGGAAACTGCCTGATTTCTTGAATTTAACCCTCTATGGAACAATTATGTTGTTTATATTCTATTAAATGTAGGTTTAATAAAACTAAAACTTAATTTTTTATTTTTTTTTTTTGTAAAGATTGTCTTCCATTGCTATGCTATTCCTCTCACAGTTAACCTCTAGTTTATGTTATGTAAGCAAACACACATTTATCAAAGCATAGCAGACTACAACAAAAGTTGTGAACAATAAAATGAGGATGAGGAGGAAACAGAAAACAAGTGAATAAGTACAGAACAAGATGGAAATAATCATGTTTAGCAGCACATGTTACACTGGCAAAATGAAATGAAGGGAGAAAACCTGCAATAATAATCCCTTTTACTGATCTTAGGTGCTCAAATGAAAATAGAAAATCCATTCTGTCCATCTGAAGGAATTGTTCAGTGATTTATCTTGGCGTTCCCAAAAGTAAACCTGTGCCTTACAACAATCCTCTGGCTTAGTTGTTTTTGCAGCGTTAGTGAAATGGCGAAGAGTCTCAAAAGTTAACAAATACAGTCGAGAAGAACTTCTCCTACTTTGGGAATTTTATCAGCAATACTATTATGGTTCAGTTTTCTTTTAAAAGGGGAAAAATAAAAGTGTGTGACAGTTTTGTATCCCTATGGTGGCCTTTTCAATATCCTTGAGTATTTGTCACCAGCTCAGCCGTGTCTCTTATCAAACTTGTCCCCAGGCCAGCTGGAACACCTTGGACCAGTATACGCCAAGTGACAGCAAATCAAAGACATGACTAACTGCTCAAAATTCCTACGAGAATTTATTCTTATATTTAGTCTAAGACTGAAGGTGTTTAGAGCAGGATGCAGAATATCCCTGGAGTGGAAAAAGACTGCCTGGTCATCGCATACAAGAATCTCTGATTGGCGATATTTTTTTTCCTAATGGAAAATGACAGAACTTCAGCATAAAACTCCAAATAAAACTAGTTTTTACCATTATATAAAAGAAGCATCCTTCCAGATATGTTTTTACAAGTTTTAAAATATAAGTGACATGAAACATGTCTAGTTATTTCATTCTGGGTCCACTGAGGGCTTTCTCTGAATATATTCACTGTTTAGACCGATCTATTTTAGAGAAAGACAAAAGATCACATTTTAAGTTTTTTTTAAACAGGCACTTTATTTTTCTATTATTTTATCTGTATACATTAAATTGCTTTTCCCAGAATCTGTTGGTGATTATAATGTTGACACTGTGAAAAATTGTTTGATAAAAAAAATCTTCAAATCTGTTCTTGTTGTCAGTTCCAGCCCAATTCTGCCACACACCTTCTGCACAGCTGCCAATCCGGCACTGATTTAGCTAATATGTTCTACCCAGATTTATGAACCACACCAAAAACTTATGGAATATATCTGATGCTTCTGTCATCAGAACGAAATACACCCCCGCCTGTTTATCATTGCATCACACTGTGACAAATATTTGTGGCAGTTTAATGACTTCCTTCTGTACTCAGGAGTCATATCGAGGTAGAGAACAGTGGCTGCAGGAAAGTGAGATATTGATCATATTTGTCTTTGGGAAGGAGAGACTCTGAGGTTAAGATTTATATAAAAGAGAGAAATAGGTGTTTGATCTAAAGTGACGGCTGAGAATGATTGAGCCAGTGAGCATCAGAATGTTAGAAAATGTCTGCTACACGCTGCATGTTAGTTGTTCTACTTTCACTACCATTTGTTTCTTAGTGGTTGGCTTAAGACAAAATACTACTAACGTTACATTTTTTTTAAAATTTACAATCATAGAATGTGTTTCATAATGCATTATTAGATTATGACATTTATTTCACTGACTTTGGGAAGGAGAAATAAATGCTTACTCTTTCTGTACCTGTATCTTTTAAATTAAAGCACATCTTGTACTGTTTTAGTGGCAGCAGCAATGCATGCAAAAGGCGACCTAATTAAACGTGATGTAAAAGTAAAAACCACAAATATCTAAAACATTTAGCTGCTCAAGTTCGTTAATCGTTGCTTCAAAACCTAAAAGAACTATTCTAAATGGAAGCAATCCAGTCACTTCATACACATTTTCATCAAGAGAAGTAAATACAGTCAGAAAAAAAGGAATGTTGCAGTTAACACTATGACTTAAGTAAGTGGCAGCCATATTGGATTTTGAGGTTGGGGTTGGTGTGAGGTTTTCAATTATTTATTTGAAAATTTGAAGTACATTTACATTTTATTTTTGCTTGAAAATGGAAAGAAAAATGAGTCTGCATCCTTCTAGAGATCATGAAGTACGGATGGATCAGAATGCTTTATTCTTTTCTCTTGTTCATGCCCTCTTGCAAAAATGTCATAGCACTAGAACATTTTCACATTGTGTCACTCTGCAATCCCGCGTGGCTCCTGAAGAAAATTGGTTGTCATGGATTTTCTCTTAAGGTAGCGCCATCATTTTGTATAACAAAATAATAGAGTCTTTAAAAAGAAGTCTACAAACGCTTTTAAGAAAACCTTTTAACAGAGCAAATCATAAGATACGTTTTGTCTTCATTAAAGTGCAGAGAAAAAAAGAGGGTAACACTTTATTTGAAGGGGGTTGAATAAGACTGACATGACACTGTCATAAACATGACATAACACCTGTCATGAACATGAATAAGCCTTCATGAATATTTATGACTGTTGTCATAAAGCATCATTTAGTCAATTATGACACTTTTAATACAAAGTTGACATTATTCAAAATGTCTTTGTTATGACAACTTGACATTAACCAAGAAATCATTACTGATATAAATTTGTTATAAAAGAATTACTGATTGCACTTTAAAAATTAGGTAACTTTATGTTATTAAAGGTAAAGTTTAAACAGTAATGATTTCTTGGTTAATGTCAAGTTGTCATAATAAAGACATTTTGAATAATGTCAACTTTGTATTAAAAGTGTCATAATTTACCGAATGACGCTTTATGACAACAGTCATAAATATTCATGAAGGCTTATTGATGTTCATGACAGGTGTTATGACATGTTTATGACAGTGTCATGACAGTCTTATTCACCCCCCTTCAAATAAAGTGTTACCAAAAAGAGTCCTAATTTGTCTTCCATTCAAATTCTGGACAGGAATTGGCACTATTTTGCTTAGCACAGCAGTGTAGCTTTAGCTTTTATTTGCAGGCATAATCTCACTGCTGACATTAAAATTTGCAGTTTGCCATCACAAACATTCCCTGCGAGGAAGTTCCAGTAAGCGGTGCTTTCCCTGCATGTCAAGGGCCATTACTGGACAGACCATGGCCATCAGAAATGGCACCACATAATGAAGCTGTTGCCATAGCAGGACAATAAGGATCAATAAAACATTGGCCCTGCGCTGCCCTTTTATGCCATACAAAGTGATTTTAGGGCCGTCATGCATTTTCTAACGACCTTTTTATGTAACATTTTTACATCTCTATAACAAAGTCTTCCTGGGGGCAGACTTGCCGGCTGTGCACAGTAAAAGGGATCATAAAGTTTTCTCTTTCCAGGTACAGGCGACGAATAGCTGTAGCTGGCAACACAGTGGCAGAGGGACGTTAATGATGAGTGATTTTGATGCATTTGACATTCGTTCAGATCAAAATCATTTTGGTAACCTAACTGACCTAAAACAGGAAGAGTTTGGTCTCATTGCATCCTTTCATACTTCTAACTTTAAATAAAATAAAATAAGAATAAGAATAAGAATTTATACACTGAAAAAGCACAAAATCTTATCAAGTATTGTTGCCTAGTTGCTAGTTCAAATATCGTAGTACTTGAAATAAGACAAATCTACCTTTTCAGTAAAAGGAATTGATGAAAAAGTACTAGTTCCATATTGGCAGATAAATTTACTTAAAACATTTTTCCCCATGTTATAAGTGAAATAATCTGGATTTTGTACGTTCTTATCAATATCTAGGAATGTTTTCACTTAAGACAAGCTTCTATATCTTGCTGAAAATTACTTTTCAGTTAGTTTTGTCTTAATTCAAGTGTACTAAAATATTTGCTATGGAAACTAGACAAACAATATTTAGTAAGATAGTGTGTTTTTGCAATGTAGCAATTCTTGGGACTTTTGTTATTAGTTTGTAGATTTGTCCCTCTTTGTATTCAGATGCAGTTCTTTTCAGTTAGTTTTCATTGAACTGTTGTCATTTATTTATATTCTGATTTGAGTTGAAGTCTTTAGATACTGTTTTTCTCTTTCCTGTTTTATTTTGAAAATTCCTTTTCTTTGTCTGAATTCCAATTACTTCCTGTATTTGAGTTATTTTGGCACCTGTTGGTAGGAGCTTTGATCCAACCATGTCTTTGTGTGTGTTTTTGTTTCTAGTTTACACACTTATTACTACACAGGAACTCTTTAGTCTTATTTAATGTCAGAGAGTAAGATGAAATATTAGAAGTATCTGATTTTACTTGTGTTTGCCTTATAGAGGCTTGTGTTAATTTGCTAGTTCCTGCTGTAACCCGTATTGCACAGGACGGACAGACGTTCTGCAGGAGGAGACCCTGTGACTGTGCAGACCCAGAGGAGGATCTGTTCTGCTGTCCCAGCTGTGACAACCGGCCCAGCAGTCAGTGTCTGGACCAGAGCGGACGAACGCTGTACCGCAGTGGAGCGTCCTGGATGTACGGGTGCCAGCAGTGTCGCTGCATGGTGTGTACATATGAGAACGATACATAAAATCAAAACAAATTCACACACGTTCAGATTTTTTTTTTCTTTTTCCAATAGCATTACAGCAGTTTCTGATATTAAATTCCTTAATATGGAATTAAAGCTTAATTTGATTAAACAATGATACAGAGCCTTCTTATCAATATGAAATTCAGTGCTGAGACGTCTAATGCGCTGCTCAGCTGTGTGTGACGGCTGAGATAATAACCACATTTCTAATTTGAAATGTGACAACACATTAGTGGGAGCTTTACTTTTATCTGCAGAAAAATGTGTTAAAAAGCATGAAGCAAAATTTCTGAATTCTCTTGCCTCTTTGTTTTTATTTTTGGCCTGTGCCTCTGCAGGAGGGGGAGGTCGACTGCTGGCCTTTAGTCTGTCCCGTATTATTATGCGAGTACACGGCAGTGGCAGAGGGTGAGTGTTGCCCGCGCTGCGTCACAGACCCCTGCTTGGCTGACAACCTGTCGTACGACATTCGGCAGACGTGCACAGACCCCACAGGTGTCACTCGCCTCAGCGGGGACACATGGCATATGCCCAAGTCGCCCTGCACTACCTGCAAGTGTAAGGTAGGTCAAAGCATCAATAATCACCAAGCGACTCCATTTCAAGCTTTAACTACACATTGAGTTTTAAACAATGAATAGTTTATTACTACTAAGGACACATATTTTATTTAAAAAGTACTTGTTCAGGTGGTAGATAATTTCACTTATAACAAGACATTTTCCCATGTTATAAGAGAAACATCCTGCTTGTGAAACTAGTACTTTTTCATCAATTTTACATAATTATTGACTTAAAACAAGTTTCTATATGTTGCTTAAAAGTTACTTGTACGTTGGTTTTGTCATATTCCAAACATGCTAACAGAGTTGTATTAGAAAGTAGACCAAAAATACTTAGACTTTATATCAGGGGTGTCCAAAGTCGGTCCTCGAGGGGCGGCATCCTGCATGTTTTAGTTCTCTCCCTGGTGGTAGTAACAACCTCCTCAGCAAGTCAATGTTATCCTTAGGCCTTTAACGAGCCATCATTTGATGCAGGTCTATTAAACCAGGGAGAGAAATAAAACATGCAGGATACCGGCCCTCGAGGACCGACTTTGGACACCGCTGCTTTATATTTTTGCAATGTATTCCATCCTTAGCAAGATATAAAGTTTTATGCCTTGCTGAACTAAAATGAGCAACAATCCAGTTGTGTCTGGTCCGTTGTGTTTATTGGCCCTTTCGTTTTTGTTTTTTGTTTTTTTATTCCAGGTTTGGATTTGGAAAAAAAAAAAAAAAAAATGTTAAGTTACTCTTTTGTACAACTCATTGATTTCTGAATTCACTACAACTGAAGTGGAACATGAAAAAAATAAACATGATCTGCTGAGCCAAAATAATGCAATATCTGCACTGGGGAATCGGACAGGTTGTAGTAAACCATAATTATCCTTTGAATTGAACACTCATTATCTCAGCTTGATCTAATTCCCTTCACTTCTCTAAAATGGTTTTCAACTGTTTTCGATGTGAAGGTAACAATTAGTCCAACGTTCACTCGAAAACTTCCCAGAACTTGTAAAATGGCTTTCATTAAACCACTGATTAAAAAGGGATGCAATAGATTGTTGTGTCATCTCTAACTACCAGCCAATCGACAAGTTTCCCCTGCAAGCAAGAGTTTGTGACAACACTGTTTAACATTTCCCACAGTGCTGCCAGAAGAAAGCTGCAAATGACCTCAGACTTAACACTTGTTAAAGAAAGTTTTCTGTGCTTCATTGTTTTGGACAAAATAGAAAAGAAAGTAACAGAACAACAGCATTTGGAAAAAGGTATTAAATGTTGCTACCTTAATTGCTTAAAATGCCATATTATAAAGGTAATTTGAACCAACTTACGTACCAAAACCTGAACATTATCTTCCCTTATGAGGCAGACTAAAGCTCATGTGTGATTTCATCTTTAACTGCTTCTTTCTCCCACTTTATCTGTTTGTTTTTTGTTTTTTTTTTTAGTTGCACCCAACAACTTTAGAAAGAGTGTAGTTTTTGTGCCTATCCTGCTACAATGTTATCTTACATAAATCGAATCAAGACTTCTGGGGGAAAGCGGCTCCTTTAGGGGTGTCATAACTCCGTTCCTCTTTACAGCTGTTTGCCAACTCAGCTCTTTTCAGTTCAGAGATGGAGCAGTAGGTTGCATACATTCTGTATTTATTCCATTCATCCTTTTTTTTTAACAACACCTGCCAGTATTAATAATAATAAAAAACATCCCAAGTAATTCAGTAAATGGCAACAGAACTTCCTGCCGCATTCATTTTTTTGACTACCATGACCTGGATCAGAGAATTTATGTCAGCATCTTTGGTATCAGCAGCTGTTGTGCAGACAGATCAGGGTCACACTGTGAACCTGGTCTTTATAAGGACCTCTGCTGCTGAGTAAGTCCATATGCTTGATTGATGCTGTTAGAGACATAGTTTGCCTTAGCTTTGGCTGACCTGACATAAAGGTTTCTGTAATGACACAGTAGCAGGTCGTACACTCCATTACTCAGTAATATCATATAGAAATCGAATATCATATGATTTGAAATTTGAAGCTCAGTTAGAAGATGTTAACTCTTGAAACAGTTTTTAGATATACAAATCCTTTGTAAAAAAAAAAAAGAGCAAATGTTGATGGTTGTAATGAGATCTGTCCTGAGCACACAGGCATATCTGATGAACTGCATTATTCTTCAAATACAGCAGATTAAAAATTCACAGGATCTAAAAAAAACTCTAAAAGGAATGAGGAGAAAACAAGACTTGTCAAAAATATGTCTATTTAAAAGATGTTAGCCATAAAGCTTTTATGACCTATGATTTTGTATTTGTCTCAGTTGTGCATAAGTTTTAATAACATCACTGACAAAATGACAGTTAATGACATTTTGTTCTCCATTTATAAAACTCTGTTCACATTTGATGTTCAGTCCCCTGAGTTTCTCTCTCCATATTGAGTGAAAATTTATGTGTGCCATGTTGAAATACAATTTATAAATAAACTCTGCACTTTTGCTTAAACTCTACCAGCTTTTTCTAAAATCTGAAGTCTTGTTAGGCAACAGTGGCTCATTCTCTGGACTTTACAATCAACATGTATAATGTATAGCCGTCTGCATTATTTAATGCTCCCTCTGTTGTCTTGTCATGCTGTGTTGTTCAGAACGGGAACGTTTGCTGCTTGGTGGAGCTCGACTGCCTTCAGAACAACTGAAACTCATTCCTCCTCTTCTTCTCACTACGGGACTGTCATACGGCCTCCTCCATCAGACAACCTTCCCACTGGATCCATAAGACAGACTTGCACACAAAAGTGTGCATGACAGTGAGTGTACAGGAAGCACACACTGGGCAGACTTTGCGTGTCGAAGCGGCATCCTTTTGCTGCAACTCTGACAGCGAGCGAGCGAGTGTGTGTGTGAGGCTCAGGAGAAGATCTGAGGTCATCGTCACACTAAGTGTTGTATATGTGTCTTTGTGTTTGTTTTTTATCCCTTAATGTCTCAAGAACATGTGTACAAACTCTAACAAGCTACCACCGACAAGCAGGTGGTCACGTGTTTCGGTGCTCCATGCATCTGTACTTCTTAAATATTGGCTCACTCTGAATTGGTCATCTAAAGAAGATATCACAAAACAGGTTCACCTTTAATGTTTTGTCTCATTGAAAGAACTGGTAGTTTTAATAAAACCACAGAATCTGAATAATTTAACCTTTAACTGATGTGATGTGGAATCAGTTTCCAGCCCGGCATCAAGTTGTTCTTGTTGGTGATTTTTCAAATTTGATAAATGATCTTGCTCCTATTTTATGCATAGAAAGTAACATTTTCTGATGTTAACATTTTTTTTTAAAATCATAATGTGGTAATCAAAGCTGCATTGTAATTATAATTTGCTGTCTTCTCATCATAAAAGTGACCACAACTTGTATGTTATATATTTAATTTGATCTTGCACTTTTCTGCTTGCTTTGCAGCTCCAATTGACTGTATGAAAGTAAACTCATTAATAAAAGACTACAATATCTTAATGTTTATAAAGCTGGATATTACCAACATACATTTTTGTTGTAGGTCTGCAGGTTTTTGGACCAAAATGAAAACACTTCTCTGATGGTTTTGATCTGTTGATGATATAGATCTGCTTTCTTTATTGGTTAGAAAAATACCAAACACAGAATAAACCACGTCCTTCCCAGTTTCCAGCTTCTGAACAGGGCCATATTTTTAAAATATTTTCCTCTGCATCACTGTCATCTCTCTAATGATGATGATGATGACCAGATGCTAACATTTAACAACAGCACTCACATTATCAATGCTGTGTGATGTGTCATTACCACTTCTTGCAGGTCAGAACAAACACCAGCCCAAGCTCTTGATTAAATCAGCGCAGCTTAGCGATGGGCTGGACTTCTGCTGCATCTCCCAGGGCGCCGCATCCTCAGCACCATATGCCACAAAGAAAAGCAGAGGGACAAAAAAAGAGGGAAAAAAAGAAAGCTGGGGTAATTAAAGCCATGTCACGCAGCCCTGGATTTGAGTATGCCAAGAGGTCACCAAGTGTTGAATCTGTTTACAGACAGCCAGGCTTAATAAGGCGGCACAGTCCTGTGCTTTTACTGCTACAGTTCCGACACCTCCATGCTTTCCTGCTCCCCTTCTATGCTTCAAAGCCTCTCTCCAGTGTCATCACGTTTGTGCAGAGTAAATGTTTTCTCCAAAGTTTCAGTGTTGTTCTGGTTGCAGTGTACTCAATTGCAGACCACCAGAAATAAAAAAAATTACACTATCCGGGATTTTTGGTAAAAGCACGCACTGTGGCAAAGGTTGCAATCATGGAACAACAACCATGATCACATGGTTCGTTTCAGATTTTAATCTGTACGTGTAACTGCAGATCATAGTGTCTTGTTTAGAACAGGAATTAACCTAATTTCTATTTGGTTTTATCACTTCTTAAAATGTATTCAGGTGAAAGTCAGATGTATTGTTGCACTGAGGGGCACAGATATTCATAATGCTGGAAATCGTGGTTAAACTTTATAAGTATTGTTTCACTGACAGTGAATTGCAGAAGTACTTAGAACGCCAGAACTTTTCCAAATATATAACAACCACATACCTCAATGCCTGTTACTGGGATTTTATCTGGTAGAGCAGCAGAAAATGGTTACAAAGATTTTATGAGTAGATAGACTTAGGCTCAATAAACTTGATGTAAAGCATTTATGCACAGCAGATTGTATTGCTTGATATAAATTCTCTATTTGGCCTTTGAATGAGCCATTCAAGAACATAAACATTCTCCGATTCAAACCAGGTCATTGTAGCTCTGACTGTATATCTATTGTTTTCCTCCTACTTGAATGTAAAGTTTTTTCAGGCCACATTTTCCAAGAAGCTGCCAGTCAAACAGAGCATGTTTATGGTGTTACATGTCATTGATTGTTAATGTTCTCTTAAAAACAGAAGAACTGGATTTAAACTGAGATTAAGTTACACCACAGTGAACTCCGTCTACTAGGACACTTCTGATGTCAACTAGCTGCACTGGATTTTATTGATGGTTGCCAGAATAAGGGAGGCTGAATACAAATTAATTTCTCACTTTTCAAGTTTTCATTTGTACAAATGTTAATTTCTATTATCTTAATTGTTACTTGGGTTTGGATTATATTTTGAATTTACTTTTGAGCTACTTTGTGTTGACCTACCACATAAAATAGTAGCAGACTTTGAAGTTTGTGGTTGTAGTATGACAACATATGGAAAAGTTTAACAGGTGTGAATAGTTTGACAAGGTACTGTAGATGAAGATGCATTTTATTGAGTTGTTTGCACGAATCAACTTCATTGGCTTCTGCTAACTGTCTGTAGTTACCGAAAAATAACTGTTGTTCTGCAATTCAACCACCATTCAAGCTTGTTTTGTTTTCCTGTACACCATTTTGGAAATCACCAGCATGTTTGTCTCTTTCCACTATTTCATAACGCAATTCACGTTGTAAAAAGGAAACTGTTCGTTGTGCAGAAAGCACACACACACACAAGGAAATGCATTTAATGTGAATTCTGTCTATATTAGTTGAAAGCAGAAATTTGTACAAAAACTGAATAAGATTCCGAGATTTCTCTGTTGACTGATTTGATATAAAATTACTGCTGTACTACACTATTTGTAAGTCTGTGTGTAAATGTTTTACATACTGACAAAATACAAAAAATATTTTTGTGTTCATAGACAAATTGTGTTACTTTAAGTTTACCGATTTTTCTTTTGGTGTACAAGTTCAGTTTTGCTGTAAATACTGTGTAAATGGACGGGTACTGTAAAAAAAATGATTATGTGAATAATTCTCACTACCACAGCTTCTTAGGATCTGAGTGTTGTAAGTTAAATAAGAGAGAAGCAACATTTCTATTGTTTTTACTATTTATTTATTTTTATATTCTTGCCTTAACCCTTTTTCGTATTCATTAGTTTGTATTTTTTAACTGTTTTAGGATTTAACTTGTCTGAATGTGTATATACAAATACTTCATTAAAACTCAACAGAAATATACTTTTGACATAATAAACATGAACATGCAGTTTTTTCAGGCATCTTTTCCAGCTATTAAGATGATGACATGGACTTTTCCTTGAATCAGTCTTTGTTTCCCTCCTCACCCCAAACATATTTCTGTAACCTGAACTGACTGATCTGTTCACTTGAATCACGAAATTGAATTGTATACATATGTAAAAAAAGACGGTTACAAAAGAAAGCATTTTGCTTGTTTTACTTGATATTAAGAGATCAACAATGTGTTTCTGCTTTATTTATTTATTTTTAAAGAAAGCAGGTCCAAATCTTCTAGCAATTGATGTGCTGTTTTTCATAGAAGACCGCCATGAAGAAATCCACAGGTTTGCTCATTGCCAGATCAGAGTGCCCAATGTAGTTTTACTCAAAGGGTTAAGTGTCATTTAAAGACTGTGTTGTGAAAAGAATTTGCTGTGAACTAATTCTCCTGTTAATAAATACTTAAGTTGTTTACTTTATCCCTCTGTGTGCATTTAGTGTGAAACCATGTATCCTGACATTGGTAGCACTTCCTGCTCCAGCTTTGTGACAAGATACCAACAAAATAATTGTACTTTACTTAACTGAGTCTCATAATTTAGTAATAGTATGTTCTTATTAAAATTAGAAGAAAAAAACAGTTGATAGACAGCTTGTAAAATATTTTATCAAGGGAAAATGTTCTTAATAGTAAAAACATCGTAGGTAATATGTAAAACCCCAACAGTTTAACAGATTTTACTGTAAAATCAAATTTTTAGTAGAGAGGTATAAATTAAGAAATATGTTTTCACCAAAATTATTAGAACGCAATCACCTGACAGCTTATAATAAAATGTTAATGTAAAATAGCAATATTTGTGCAGTAGTAGGTATATAGTTTCCTTGTTTATACCCACTTGTCCCTGCAGGCATTTTTACAAACAAAAAATGGAAATCCTTGTAGCACTAAACATACAATACTTCGTGTAGATACTGTAGGCATTCAAACTCTTAAGTTTCTTCACTTTTCTTTCCATACATTTTTAATCCATTTACCTACTTCTGCATATTTTGTACCATTTCAACCATTCAGTTTTACCATATTTTAATCATCAAGCTCATTATGACTATGTATTTTGGTATTGTTTTGCAGTTTATGAAATATTCAGCTCTTTGCGCTCATCTTGGGCCCCATGAAAATGAGTGGAACATCCCATAATACCAGAAAAATACTGCTAAAACCTTTAAGCTTTACTTTACTGAGCAGCTCACATGTAACTGCTTCCACATATTTTAGAAACGCAATTCAAACTTTAGCCTTACTATTCAACTATGTCTGTGTATTTCAGATTTTTTATATCTTTAACATATTTCATAAAATCCTTCTTCAGGTTTTGCTCACATCATGCCAAGTCTTTAGGAAAAAAAACAGTAGCTCTGGTTCCCAGTTTAACCCTCCTTCTAACCCTAATCACAATCCCTCCCTCCAATCCTTCATTAAACCTTCCATCCAAACCTCTTTCCTTCCAACCCTTATTCTTTCAAACCTTTTTCCAACACTCATCCCAACACTTCTCCCAACCCTTCTTCAAATGTTTAATCCAACCCTTCTTAACCTCATTTAAACTTACCTGCAAACCTCCTTCCAACCCTAAATCCTACCTTCCTCGCTCCCTCTATTGCTATTTCTAGTACATCAGATGTGTAGCTTACCTTTCTCATCATTAGCCTTCCTTTATCAGGTTGTTTAGCCATTTGAGTCACTGGTTCTGGTGCTAACAGATGAAGATGAGATTGTACTATCCACAACAGATTTATATATGTAATGCAGCATCTTACTGCAAAACTTGGAATGGCCTAAGCTTCTTTAAAAAGTAAAATCTCCTCTTTCTGTTTAAAGAAGCTTCATTATTGCATCTCCAATATCTTTGTACTCAACTTTTGGACCGTCTCTGATACACCCTGCGACTGCAGAATCGTCCTTGTATTTCTGCAAATGACATGAGTCTGTTTTGTACTGGAAGTCAGAAGCGTGCAGAGTGAAAAAGAGTGGTGAGAGTACAGTTCCCTGTGGTGCTCCTGAACACCTGGTTAGACACAGGACTCTTCAGTCTGAAACTGTGGTCTGTTTGTCAGGCAGTGATTGATCCAGGTGATCCAGAAGACCTGTGTGGAGTTTTGGGACAATTAAATGAGGCTGAATTCTTTAAGGTAAATGCAAAAAAACTATTCAGATGGAATCAGGCAGAATTACCACAGAAGATGGATGAATGCTTTTCATGCACCGTTTAATGGAAGCTCATAAAGCACAATATCCCCACGCTTTAACTATGACATCCTAAAAATGTCTCAATAGACTTCTTCAAAGTTCCCAATAGATACAGTGCTATTCAGAAGTGCATGGAAGCTTGTGCTTGTTCAAGGATAAGATTGTTATTTTGATGCTGTAATTGGGGAAAGATTTCTCATGAGCAGCTCTATGAACGTTTCTCAAGTGTGTGAGAAAGAATGAAAGTGAAGCAATGTGGTATGATTTATATATTGTTTTGCACAACTAAAATCAATAAATCTATAATGTCTAGACAGAAACCACCAGTTTATCAAAAGGGAGTTTAAGCATGGAAGAGAAGGATGGCAAAAAAGATTCAGTGGTCTTTCAAGACTTAAAGTAAATTCTAACAGAAAGCCAACCTTGGTGTGGTGACCAATTCAGCTCTTCACTTGCTCCAAGAATAAAGTGATGTCGCATTATGTTCATATGACTGTAAACATTATCAATATACATTTGAACCAGAAGGTTAAATGGGCTTTAAAAGTACAAACAACCTTTGTGGGTGAATGTCTGATAAGAAACCAGAGTTAGGATTATCCAAACCGTTTTTTCTTGCTAAATGCCAAAAAGATGACAGAAAAAATATATTTGAAAGTTCTGTTTTCAACTTTATATGCTTGATTGGCATCCATTAAAATACTATTTGAAAACTGAAATATTATCATAAAACAGAAAGCTCAAAGGAAGCACCAGAGCATGTTCTGGCCTTGTGGGCATCTTGTGTGACACTGCAGCAATTTTAAACTGAAAATGATATTCTTCTATTTAATGAAACATACAAAGAATTTGGAAACATTGAGATAAGAAAAGCTATACTTTTGTAACTTTATTGTAATCGTTTCATGTCAAACATTTTAATGTTGCTTTGTGTCATTCAGACAGCACCTACTGTAATAGTTTTATCACACCAATCCATCTGTTGTATTTTTGAACCTGATTTAATGCATAAAAATAGCTTAATATGCTTGTTAACATTTCAGTTTTCTCTGCAGTGAAAATGAACTTTGAAGGTATTAAAGTGTCACAAAGGTTTCCTTTTTAATGAGAGAAGCCGCTGAATATCAACAATCGGTTGCAGCTTCAACGCTCAGGAGAAAACATACTTTTTAATACCAAACAAGAATTAATATGTTATCTGTCCCAGTGAGTCTTCATGCGCATCTGTTTGTCACAGATCAGAGAGAATATCTTCATCATAAATGACAAAGTGAGTCGTCTCTGTGGGGGAAACACGTTTTGTTAGCAGCACTGGGGAAGGGTTCAGTCAATTAACCTGCTGTCAGTCAACTGTAGAGCTAGTGCTCTTTCCTCAACATTCTGTCATGGTCATGGTGAGCAGTGGCAGCTGTACCCTGGTGCTCTCTGTCCGTCACAACCTGAGCTCCCTTTGGCCAGGAGTGGCTCCCCCCAACGGTGTTTACCATTCATGGGCTGGAACCTTGGAAGCAACCACTGAGGTGATGGAGTGACTCCCTTAGCAACAATTCTCATCTACTGTATGCATCCAGGGAAGGGAATACAACAGCCATCTATGCATGACCTTATGATGGGAAATTGATTTTTCTATATGAACTTTAATCTAACTTTAAATCGAATGTATTATGCTTTCTGATTTGCTTCTGAATAGAGCATCAACAGAACATTGGTCGCCATCATCGTCTCCTCCTGCAACAAACGTTGCATTGCATTGTAAACCAGAGAAGCCGCATTGTAATGCAAAATCCAATACAACAACAAGGATTAAAGCAGCTTAGATGGTTATTGACATCCTGTCCAATCAATACATGTATAACTTTAGATCTCAGGTGGGCCAGGGACAAGTTGAGACATCATGCCACAACTGACCCAGTGGTCCCATGAAGGAGGGACATGGAGCAGATGCGGGCTACTCCTTTCCTTCATTTCCTTGTGCAAGATCTTAAGATAGTAACACCAATAATTATCATACTAATTAGCCTGTTTACTAGTTTAAGAAAGAAGTCCCAAAGAAATAAAAAGAAGCACATTGTTCTGCAAGCAATCAAATGGTCATAAATGAAAGAAAGCAGCATTAATGCTTATAATCTTTTGCTGGAACAAGCCGGACCAGGTCCATCTTCATCAGTCTGTTATTCTGTGCTTGGTAGAGTTTCTTTCTTTCTCATGGGCAAATTTATATCTACATCACATCAGCGGAGATGGAATTGAATATTTGCCTTTTAATCTAACCACTGCTATAAATACCCATTTGTATTATTAGCGGAAAAAGAGAAAAATGGTTATTAAGCTGTAGGAGACGTGATGAAAATACACTGGGTGTGTTTTTTACAGACTGGTGAACACACACATGGCCATGTTTAAACATGTTTCACAGCTCTTTTTCATTTCTTGTGTAAAAATAACTTTAAAGTGCATAGAGAAGGTAATAAGATATAACAACAGCTGTCACGACATCATCACATGCAAACAACTGCAGTGGAATTTAAAACACGTTTTTAGATTTGTTTTTTTGATCATTACAAAAATAAACCAATACTAAAAAGGATTTTTCCAACAGAAGTTGAAACTACCGAGTGCTAATAAACAACAAAAGTTGTGAAGTGGGGAGCTGGAGGGTGCTGCAGCACATCCTAATGGATACCAGGGAGAATGCATATACTCTCATTTTACTTTGCATCATTACCACTGTCACTTATAGACTAAGCATACAATGTTAGTGTAATGCTGCCAAAAGTCAGAGATTCAGGGTATTTTGATGTGTCGGAGCAACATTTAACCATGAGTACAGAGAAAGAGGCACACATGAGTGACGAATAACTGGTGAACATGGTTCTGTGAAACTTTTGATCATGTGACTTTAGCTGATTATCATACATTTTTTGCAGCTATGTAGTGAGAAAAATGTACACACTGAGCTGGAAGTTTCAAAACTATGGTTGAAGCAAAAATGACCATGTGTCAGTGGTTCTCAAACTTTTAAGGCTGAGTTCTGCTTAAAGTAGCACACTATCAAACACTAGCAGTCATTATTACTCAGCCAGGTCCTGGACTTTTCCTCTTTCAAAAGGAAGTACTTTTTGCTGAAATAAAAACGTTAAGGGAATAATCTTCTGCTGCGCTGTTTCGCATTTGGTGGCAGCTTGATAGATGTGTGTGAGAGCCTGCCAGTGCCAGCAGAGCTCCGAC